ATTTAGGCTAAGTTTTCTGAAGTTTCTCTTTCTTTCTTTCTAAGAAGGAGATGTCAGATGTATCTATAGGGAGGTCAGCCATAGTATGGACCTGTAGGTAGATTTGTGAGTATTCACAGCGAACAGCTTAATCCAGAGATTCTCTGTATGTATTGGGAGTATGGAATGTCCTTTCAGTCAATTTTCGTTCTTTGTAATAACTTTCTTTTTATTCTGCACATTTATTAGGCCTTTTATGTTCAAGCGGACTTTGTCTAGTATTGTTTCATACCCAGGAGGCTTTTAATAGATTTAGAGTGTATTTTTTAAAACTCTATTTTTAATCCCAAGTAGCATTAGAAGGAGGCTTTTAATTTTTTAATTTAAATTTATTTTAATTTAATTTTCTTGAGACAGGGTCTTGCTCCGTTGCCCAGGTTGAAGTGTGGTGATGTGATCACAGCTCACTGCAGCCTCAACCTCCTCGGCTCAAGCGATCCTCCTACCTTAGCCTCCCAAGTAGCTGGGACTACAGGCACACACCACCACATCCAGCTAATTTTTGCATTTTTTGCAGGCAGAGTTTCACCATGTTGCCCAGGCTGGTCTCAAACTCTTGGGGTCAAGCGATCTGCTTGCCTTGGCCTCCCAAAGTGCTAGGATTATAAGCATGAGCCAGTGTGCCTGGCCATGCGGAGGCTTTAAAAAACTTAATTTTGGAGAGTTTCAAACATACAGAATGAGACTGGATCATGTAATGTGTCATTGGCCCTTTCACCAGCACTAGCAACCTGAATACATGGCCAGTCCTGCCTCATCTGCATCCACCGTGTATAAGGAAATAAATACACATCATCAGTATCTCAGCATGTTTCTCTAAAAGAGACTGTTTCTTAATATCATCATGATGCTCTTCTGCCTAAAAATTAATATTTATCTTATTGGGAGGTATTTTAAAGGATACAGGAGGAAAGAAATTTAGCCACAAACATCTTGCTTAACATGTCAACTTTTTTCTTTTTTTCCTGTGTTCAGGTTTTGACCGAAAGCATACTGACATTCAGTAAAAATGATAGCCACCTCTGCTCCTAAGCTTTTCTGGGTATACATGTTGTGATTGGGGTAAACATCGACTCTCTGTTCCTCCATCTAAGAGGAATAATAGGTGTTCCCTTCATTTGGACCATATTTGTGTACCCTGAGTAATTTCCAGACCTCTCCCAGCTTCTAAAGTTCCCAATTCATTCAGCAAATATTTATTGAGAGACTCACTGATGTCAGTCACCATTAGAACTGGGAGTTATGGTGGAAAAGAAGACAAGCTAGGCCCCGGACTTGTTGGAATTCATAGTTGTTAGGGAAGTGGGCCTTCCCCACACAAAGACGCTGACATATGCTAACGGTCGCTGGGCTGCAGCTGTGGCGAGTGTTGTGGGGAAGGGCTGGGAGAGTGGACCAAGAAGACCTCAGGGGTCTGAAGGGTCAGGGAACGTGTTCTTGACTCCTGAGGAAGCAACATTTCAGCCCAGCAGTGCAGACTGAGGGAACAGCACGTGTGACTACCTTGAAACAAGGAGGTTGGTCCCTAAAGGAACAGAAGGATGGCAGTGACGCAGGTGTGGGGTTGGGGATGGGCTGGGGAAGTAGAAGGAGCCCCACATCCTGGGCCTGCCTCTTCCAAATGGCCCTGGGACCTGAGGGCAGGCCCTTGGCTTCCCTACAGCTGGAGACCCTGGGATGCCACATGGAGATATGAGTTCTACATCCTCTCCTGACTGTAGCCTTGTAGTTAAGGAAAGAACTCCAATTTGGAAAGATGTAAGCAGGTACTTGCAGGCTATCACCCTGGAAGAAGAGAAGTCATACTATTTACGCAGTAGGGTCATTTTGAGGATTAAAGAAAATATTATATATCACATAATCAAATCGCCTGACACCAAATCTCTTCCCCTCCTCTTGCTTCATTAACTTTCTTCTTCACTTTTTCTGTCAGGGCCCAGTAGCTCCTCAGCTGCCGCAGGAGTCCTCTCCCCTGGAGTGGCTGGTGCTGATGGCCCTGCTCCCCCAAGAGTAGAGTCTGGGGTCGTGCCTCTCCCATGGGCCTTTTATTTAGACCCTGACATTTACACAAGTGATCAGTTCAAAAATAATGCTTTTCTCTTTTTGCCAAAAAATTTCAAAGTCTACAAAAGGACACAAAGGAAAAAGTAAAATCTCATTTTCCTGAGGAAACTGTCGTTAGAGATCTGGATTCCATCTTTCTAGATGTTTTCCACAGACAAACACACAGCCTGAAAACAAAAAATGAACATGTGAGATTTATGGTTATTCACTTAATGTATCTTGATCTGTTTTCTTGTGTAGAGCTTTGAGACCCAGGCCCCTCAGCCATAGACCTCATTCTTCCTGGCATTGCTTGTGTTTTCCTCACTCCATGGCTGCCCCATCTCCCTCCCTGGGCCAGGGGCAGAATCCACTGTGTCCGGCCACCTGAGTTTTCCTGCAAGCCAGTCCACCTCTGAAAGGCTTTGCTTTGCAGAAAGGCATTTCACCAAAGCCTTATGTTGTTGTCGGCTCGTTTTTTAGGAAGTGGGTGGAGTCCGTGACTGAAAGATTTTGCTTTTGTTTCCTGGTATGTGGGGAGTTTCATTAGAGCTTTTCCTCTTCCGGGTCATATGTCCAGTAAACTGGGGATAACTTAATGCCCGTTCATGACTCGACTGCGCACTGTTTAACTGCTCAGTTGCCCAAACTTAAGCACATTTCAGGGTAGCATCAGTGCCTTTGGGCCCAGCTGTAAGGGACTCAGGGGAAGCATTTGCTAGAAGCAAATACAAACAATCACAGCCCCTTGCATCCCATCTCTTCCCTAATGTGTGAGGAAGGGTGAGAAGCAATGGATGTTGTGTTTTCTTACTTTTTAAAAAGCTTGCATTGAAACAAAACAAAACAAAACAAAAACAAGCAATACAGAAAGGGATAAAGGAAAAAGCAAAAGTCACACTGATCCCCAGCGCCTCTACCCCACACATGGTTCCCCTCTTAGTAACCTGTAAGATTAATCATCATCATGTACCTTTCTAGACGTTCCTTTGATTTTGCAAACTTTGAATGAATAGGATCACAAAAGTACTTACCGTTCTGCCACAATGAACGATTTTCAAATGCAAATAAAAGTTTTATGTGTTAAAAAATATTTTGTGGGCTGGGCACTATGGCTCACTCCTGTAATCCCAGCACCTCGGAAGGCCAAGGCAGGCAAGTCACCTAAGGTCAGGAATTCAAGACCAGTCTGACCAACATGGTGAAACACCGTCTCTACCAAAAATTAAAAAAATTAGCTAGGCGTGGTGGCAGGTATCTGTAATCTCAGCTACTTTGGAGGCTGAGGCAGGAGAATCACTTGAACCTGGGAGGCGGAGGTTGCAGTGAGCCGAGATTGTGCCACTGCACTCCCGCCTGGGTGACAAGAGCGACACTCTACCTCAAAAAAAAAAATTATATATATATATGTGTGTGTGTGTGTGTGTTTATATATATATATATAATATATTGGGCTGGCATATATTACAAGCATGGCATGGTGGCTCATGCTTGTAATCCCAGCACTTTGGGAGGCTAAGGCAAGCAGATCACTTGAGGTCAGGAATTCGAGACTAACCTGGCCAAGATGGTGAAACCTCATCTCTACTAAAAATACAAAAATTAGCTGGGTGCAGGGGTAGACACTTGCAATTCCAGTTGCTAGGAAGACTGAGGCAGGAGAATCACTTGAACCGGGGAGGTAGAGGTTGCAATGAGCCAATGTCCAGTACACTCCACTCCACTCCAACCTGGATGACAGAGTAAGACTTTGTCTCAAAAAAATTTGTGTGTGTGTGTGTGTGAATACATCAAAGGCAGTTGAAAAATGAGCAGGAGAGCAGAGTTACCCTTTATAGAATTTGAGTTTCTGTGTCTTGAGGTTGTCGAGGTACCAGCGTCAGCCCCATGGAAAATTGGGAGAAGGCCAGTTTGTCTGAAGTCTTAGTCCTTGACCTTGGCTTTTTTCCTTGCTTCTGTCCCTTCCATGTTGTGGAGGCTCCTACTCTGTCCCCCTACCTCTAAATAGAGCCTGCAATATGGGGAGGGACTTAATGAAAGACAGAACCACAGAGCCAGGCTTGATGTAGATGTGTGTCCATAAAAAAGTTGCCTAACCTCTCTGAACTTATTTTCTTAGCTTTAAACTGGAGAGGACAGAAAGGACAATTGCTATGTCACAGAGTGGTTGTAGCTTAGGTGCTTAACAAATCAAGTTCCCCCTTTCCTGCTTGCTAAACCTTCGTTCTATAAAAGTGTGGTAAGACATGTTACTCTTTCTCAAGCGGATTTGCATTTCAACAATGACCAAAGCTTTAACTGAAGGATTTAAGAACCAGCCAACAGGACAGGGAGCATCCTTTTGGGCTGAAGTCACGCCACCTCTGCCTGGCTTTTCAGAAATATTTTATGAATGGTCACAACAGGTTGTTACTAACGCCACCCCCTTTTCTCAGAACTTGGCTGTGGGACTAGCCCTGCCCTCAGAGGACAGTTTAGCTGCCAGATGACCACCAATCTCAACCTTGTGCATTTTAGGCCATATATGTAGGGATGAGGTCGAAGTCGTACGGAGAAGCTGGACTAAGAGGAAAGACGGCATTACTAAGAGCATGAAGTTTCAAAACCTTGTTCTTGTTACCAGAAACAAAACAAGTCCATCTGGTATCTTTGTGGGAATTATTGCTAGGTGAGTAGACCGGTCCTTATAGACATTAGCAAAAGGTGCTCTTTCTCCAGGGTAAATGCAGCTCAAGCCTATGACAAATGCAACTTAGTGAACAGAGACCAGGTGGGGAGTCTGCTCCCTCCATCTTCACTGCCAGGCAACAAATGCTGGACACAACTTGCATCATCATACACATGGGCCCGTTATTACAACTGTTCGCGTGAGGCCTAAAGAGTCATTATTCTTTTTCTCTTTTCCTACCTTCTTGTAGCATCTTGATCTGAGCAATGGAGAACCTACCAGGAAACTTCCTCAGGGTGTTGTTTATGGTGTGGTGCGAAGATCAGATCAAAATCAGCAGAAAGAAATGGTGGTGTATGGGTGGTCCACCAGTCAGCTGAAAGAAGAGATGAACTACATCAAAGATGTGAGCCATTTAAGAGTTTTTGCCCCTCATCTGTATTCGTTTTGTAGCATGTAAAAGGATGGAGTTGGAAGCATTGAATTGAATGTATTAAGGCATTTTGAAAGAATTCTTAGCGTTATCACTTTGACTGGAAATGTTTCTGTGCATCTTCATGGTACTGTTGAAGTCCAGATGTAAATCTGTAAGGAAGGAAGGGTTGAAATTCTGCTGGCTGGATGTTACTAGGTAAGTGTACTCGGGAGAGCAGATGACTTCTTTCCAGGTAGGATTTGGAGGCTCTTGTGTGGTCTTTATTACACTTACTAGTCCCAAATCCATCCCTGGCAAGGGGAATAGGAAGACTGTGGCTGGTTCAGATCAGTCAGTTGGGTTGAAACAAATGCTAGGAAGTCAACCATAATAGACGCTGTCCAACCAAGCCAATCAGTGCCATTTCCTTGTATTTAATAGTTTATTTCCTATCTTTTAAATTACATGTTCTTTTGAGAAAATTTGGAGAAGACAAAAATATATAAAGAAGAAAATAAAATCACTCATAACCTCGCCATTCAACGAGAGCAATTGTTAACATTTTGGAGTATTTTCTTCTTCTTCTGTCTCTCTTTTTGTCTCTCCATTTCTTTTTGTTCCATCCTGCGTTTCCCCAGATTGACTGATTCCACTGTTGCCCAAACCACCCAGATTATGTGGAAGAGGAAATGAGCTGCTCTGACATTGATGGGCTCACAGGACAGACCAGTGGCTTCGAAAATGCTTGTCAGAAGCCGAGGCAGCGTGGGGCCAGGGAGTCACCCAGGCCTGTCAGCTCGCAGACCTTGCTTCACTCTCCAGCTCTGTCTCTGACCCAGCAAGTCACTTTTGTCCTGTGCTGGCTTCAGTTCTCATGTTAAGATTATGGGGGGCTGGGCTTTGATACATAAGGTTAAAACCACAGCTCTGTGAGCCCTGTTTTCTTTTGTGGATTTTCAGATAAGGTGCAAACTCGTGATGTCTTAGCTTTTGTGTGAGTTTTTAAAAGGAACATTTCTTGTTGAATCTAAAAAAGAATAAATGCTTAGCAGAAGATATGAGGAAAAGCTAGAAAAACTAACACACATATACATAATGTATATGACAGCAACCAACCTCAAACTCCTGGATCTCACCTTTCAAACATGATTATTAAAATTTATTTTATTACATAATTTTGAGACAGGGTCTCATTCTGTCATCCAAGCTGGAGCACAGTGGCCCAGTCACAGCTCACTGCAGCCTCTACCTCCGCAGCCTCATGTCATCCTCCTGCCTTAGCCTCCCAAGTAACTGGGACTGCAGGTGTGTGCCAGTACCTGCAGATAATTTTTTGTAGAGACGGGGCTTTGCCATGATGCCCAGGCTGGTCTTGAACTCCTGGACTCAAGTGAACCTCCCATCTCAGCTTCCCAAAGTGCTGCTATTACAGGTGTGAGCCACCGTGCCCAGCCTCCAAACATACTTTTTAACCATTTAGAATATTCAATTGCTGAATTTCCTGTTCAGAATAGTTCAGACATTCTAAGTTTCTTGTGTTTTTTTTTCTCAAGGAAATACATAGACCTTCCTCATTTAAATACTCCAGAGGTATGGCTCCTCCCTTAGTAACCTTCTAAACAGAGTGCAGAGTTCCAAATTGCCTAACACAAGGACAGGAGGAGATGTTGGCTAATCCTGAGCCCTGGATGAGATGTGGCAAAGTCACATGACTTGGAGTTACCACCCTCCACTGTGATGTGCAACTTCAGGAGGGACCTGAAATTAGTTTCCCTCCCTGCTGTAGTAGCTGCAGTTCCATCCCCGGCCTGGTCATTGCAGTGTTTGCCTTTGGGAGGGACATGCAGCTCTAGATTCCACCCACTCACCACTGGGAGCAGCACAAGAGCCAGCTCAGGGCCACACGTGAAAGCCATTCTGCCTGCCTAGAATGAAAAGTTGTACTTTTAACCTCATTTCCCCCAAATGTTTGAGGTTAATGGCAAGAAAGTAGACTCTATTTTTAGAATTCATATGGGGAAGTCTTGGGGTCTTGATTCTCCCTTCCCCCAAATCTCCACCAATATCCAGTAACCCCTAATAAACATGCTATCTAATTTAAAACAGTGTGCTTCAAAATTAAGACTTCCAATACTATGTCCTAAACTCGTAAATTCTAACCAAACTGCTGCCTTTAGGCCCTTCGTAAAGCTGAAATTCTAGAGTGTGCTGGAGAAAACTCCCTTGAGACTTCCTGTCCTACGGTATTTGAGGATTCCTGGGTACTTTGCCCATCCTAGGGACGCCAGAAGAAGGGAGGAGACAGGGACTGTTTGTTAGGTTTTTTGTTGTGTTTTTAGAGTTTTTAAGGTCCTGTTATTCCTCTGCAAGTAGTACTATAGAGAAACTTTAACAGCTTTTGTGTAAACGAGTGCTTTGCGGAATCACTTGAACTTGTGTTGCATCTACTGCCTTGTGTACTATTGGTGATTACTTAGGAACTGACTTTCAAATTTATGGGCTCTCCAGGGTTCATATTTTACTTCCTTCGATTCTAGACCTTTAATTGCTCTTTGGCAGTCAGGGCAGATAGAGGGAAAAGCAGAGGTTGGTTTTTGGTTTTTTGGTCTTTTTAGCCATGAGTCTGTTAAAACACATTCTACTTGTTAAAATATGTGACGGGAAAAGGGCAAAACCTTGCCCAAATGTAATTTGAGGGTGATAGGTAGATTTCAACACCATTTTCTCTTCACTGTTTATTGGCTAGTTAATATTTATTATTATGATTATGTGTAATTGTTATATATGTAATTATATGTGATTAATATATTAACTCATATTTTATTATATTCTATATTAATATACGCCTATTTTATTATATACAAAATATATACACAATAAAATTATATATAAATTATTTGGATAATTCCTAACTAGTTTTTAACTACTTGTTGGGGGTGACCTTCTCCCTTAATTTCCTGTCTTGTTCTTAAGGTTATTTTTATGTAGCGTCCTTCTTTCTTTAGCATTTCTTAAAAGTTTTGGAAATCTTATATGACAATGTCATAGCTTGATCTCTAACTAGAATATCTGTGGGCTGCAGGTAAGAGCCACTTTGGAAAAAGTGAGGAAGCGAATGTATGGAGACTACGATGAGATGAGACAGAAGATTCGGCAGCTCACCCAGGAACTATCCGTAAGTCATTATCTCAGCTGCTTGGAGATAGGGAGGCATGGCAGAGCTCAGAGTGGTCTCTCAGTGGCTAGTGGCTGAAGAGAGTATACAGTGTTCTTTATGAACAAAATCATATTTAAATAAACTGAGGCGATTTTATTACAGAATGAGATGTATTACCTAAAGGGAAGTTTCTGTGGCAAGATAGCCTCTTCTTTATATTCAAAGCGTTCCCACCAAAGTCAGGAACAAAACAAGGATGTCGGCTATCAGCATTATTATTTAACACTGTTCTTGACATACTAGCCAAACAAGAGAAATAAGCATATTGGTTTAAAAATGGGATAGGTAGATATAAAACTATCACTGTTTACAAACCATATGATTGTATATCTGGAAAGCCCGAGTGAACGTGAGCTTAGAAAGAAAACCTACTGCAAACAAACAAAAGATTTGTTCTTTGTAGCAGGGTTTAAGATTATATATGCACACATACATAAACATACACAGGATATAAAATTAATATATACAAATAGGTTTCAATATACAAAAACCTCTAAAATATTATCAACTGAAAAATACTAGCTACCTAGGAGTCAACTATAGTAAGTGAAAAGAAATAGCATGTGCTTAGAAAGGAAGATTCGGCATCATAAGATCCAAGTGACTGTACCAATTTAATATGACCCAATAAAAAAAACCTATAGATTTTGTTTTTTATAAGTGGAGTAGGTGATTCTAAGGTTTATATAGAAAATAAATAAAAAGAGTTGGGAAAATAATGGGAAAAGAGCAGTGAGAGGGACTAGCCTTATTAAATGTTAAAAGAAAGTGAAAAAGCCTCAGAGATTAACGCAGTCTAGTAATGGCACATAAATAGGCAAACATCAATAAAAAATAGTCCAGAAATGTACCCCAATACGTGACAAATGTAGCATCTCACATAAAGTACGGAAAATGGACTAGTCAGTATGTGCTGTTGGGAAAACTCATGTGCTGTTGGAAATCTTACACCTGGATAAATTCCAAATGGATCAAACATTTAAATGCGAAAAACAAAACCCAAAAGTGCCAGAAGAAAATGTGCGAATTTGTTTATACCTGTGGGGTAAGGGAATGCCTTTGCTTATTACGACATAAAATCCCAAAACCATGAAAGGAAAGGCTGATAACTTTGAAAACTTTAAAATGAGAAACTCCTGCTGCTAACAATGTCAAAGTCAAATGCGGGAAAAATCATTTGTCCTTCATATCATAGATAAGAGGCTCATTTTCTGAATATTGAAAGATCCCCTATGAATCAAGAAGAAAAAGGCCACAACTCATAAAAACAAGCAAAAGATTTCTAACAGGCTGTAATGTATACTAAAGGAAAGACTGGGAGCTCTTATGTGTGTGCCAGGATGCTCTGCCTCACCTCATAGTAAGAGAAATGCAGGTTAAAACTACCCTGCGGGCTGGGTGTGGTGGCTCCTGCCTGTAATCCCAGGACTTTGGGAGGCCGAGGCGGGTAGATCACGAGGTCAAGAGATCGAGACTATCTTGGTCAACATGGTGAAACCCTGTCTCTACTAAAAAATACAAAAAATCAGCTGGGCACGGTGGCGCGTGCCTGTAATCCCAGCTACTCAGGAGGCTGAGGCAGGAGAATTGCCTGAACCCAGGAGGCGGAGCTTGCGGTGAGCCGAGATCGCGCCATTGCACTCCAGCCTGGATAACAAGAGCGAAACTCGTCTCAAAGAAAAAAAAAAAAAAACCTACCCCATGATATAATTTTTATCTATTAGACCCGCCAAAGTACAAGAGTGGTGCAGGACATTGTTCACAGGCCTGTGGGCAAACAAGGGGGTTGCTGATGAAAATAAAATTTGGTATTACTCTTAGAGAGAGCAATTTGGCATTATCTGTCAAAATTACAGATGCTTAGATCCTTTGACCCAACCCGTCTATTCCTAGCATTTATTCTACAGACAGACTCTCACATATGAGGAATGACATATGGATGGACTTATTTATTGCAGCATTGTTTGTAATAGTAAAGTGATTAGAAACCTAAATGTCCATCATGAAGGGGAAAGCGGCCAGGTGCAGTGGCTTACACTTGTAATCCCAGCACTTTGGGAAGCCGAGGCAGGTGGATCATTTGAGGTCAGGAGTTCAAGACCAGCCTGGCCAGCATGGTGAAACCCTGTCTCTACTAAAAATACAAAAATTGGCCGAGTGTGATAGCACAGGCCTGTAATCCCAGCTACTCAGGAGGCTGAGGCAGGAGCATTGCTTGAGCCTGGGAGGCGGAGGTTGCAGTGATCCAAGATGGTGCCACTGCACTCCAGTCTAGGTGACAGAGTGAGAGCCTGTCTCAAAAAGAGAAAAGGAAAGTAAACTAAATTTTGTATTTCTACAATAGAATACATGCATTTGTAAAAGAAAAAAAAAAAAAGCAAGTAAGTCCTTGAAGGGGAGACCCAGAAAGATGTAGATGGTGAAAAAAAACCAAGATGCAGGAAAATACGTAGGAAAATTTTGCTGCCGTTTGTATAAAACAGGAAGAGAAAATAAACACATCAGGGTTGTTGTGTGTATGTGCACAAAAAATTACTAGAAGGTTAGTCCAGAGGATAATTAACAACTGTTTCTAATAGGGAGGCAGGGATGGGCAGGGTGGTAATTGAGCAGCATGGTAATATTTTATAAAAGTATAAAAGTAACTTTATACTTTTTAAATGTTTGCACCATGTGAGTGTATTACATACTCAAAACTTGAAGAAAAATAACTTTCCTCTAGTTTAGTCAAGCTAATGCTTGAGGACATTTTAAAAATTTATTAATAATCCCAAAGATAAAAACCCCTCTCTGTATGACACAGCTTCCATAAGAGTTAATATCTGCAGGAAAGAAGGGCAGTTCCAACAGACAGACAGACAGGCATTGGAGTTCAGTTTATGGCAGAGCTGTGAGATTAACTGCTTAAGCAACACACTACCTTGATTACAGGAGTGGGGCTATGCCAATGTATCTACCTAGCCTATTCCTTGATTACAGGGGTAGGGCTATATAAACATATCTACCCAGCCCATTCCCACTGGCATGTCAGTGTGTGAAATTCTCACCTGCTTATGGAAAGTTATTCTGCCATGACTGTCAGACACTAATAACTGTTGTCAAAGCCAAAGAATTGGATTTGCAATAGATGCATAAACAAGACTCTGCTCCTCGCCTTCCATCACCATCTCCTACACACCCTCATTTTCTCATGCTAGAACCGTCCCAGAAACCCTGCCTACAAGTCTCCTCCTTCTCCAAGTCATCCTACGTACTGCAGCCAGATTAAGATCGCTAAATTACTGCTATTGAGACACAGTGATGAACACAAAGCTGCCACATACTCCTGCGCCTGGCCTGCTTTAATTCGTTCTCCACTCCCCAGAGCGTGCCTCTTGCTCTGCGGCTCCCAGAGGCCACCTGGGGAGCCTTCCTGGGGACTTCTATCTCCAATCCTACCTGTATCTAGCCTCTTGCCAATATCTAGGTCAAGACTGGCCTCTGATGAAACTTTCTTAGACATGTTAAACACACACACCCAACAAAGACAGCAGCAAGAACAACAGCGACAAAACAACACTTGAGAATTGAGTGAGCCCTAAGTATATTCTCTGTATGGTGAGTGCAAAGAGCAAGGTGGCTGCAGAAGTGATTTCAACTGAGTTCTAGTTCTAGGCATGCCACTTCTGAGCTGTTTGACTCCGAGCAAATCACATAACGTCTCTGATGGTTTTTTCCTCGTAAAGCACAACGTTCTGACTCTGCACATTGTTGCTGAGAGGACTAAGCCAGGGTTTGTGAGTAAACACTATCCAAAGGAAGACAATTCCTGCCTTCCATTCTCTCGGTCACGCAGATGTTGACTCTTAAAATTAAAACTTTACTTTAGATATTGAAGTAGAAACGGCTTCTAACAAAAGAAAGTTCCAGCCTAACTGAAGATTGTCGAGAGCGTGTAGGGATTGATTTTGTGTGTCTGTCTCCTCAATCTGTCCAGGTTTCCCATGCTCAGCAGGAGTATCTGGAGAATCACATCCAAACCCAGTCATCTGCTTTGGATAGTTTCAATGCCATGAACTCGGCCTTGGCATCAGACTCCATTGGCCTGCAGGTACGCGTCTCTTTACTGGTATGACAGGGCAACCCAGCTTAATCAAGAGTGGGGCCTGTCCCTTTGTAGAAAAATAAGTCACAGAACATTCTCAGCCCATCATTCAGGATTCTTTAAGCAGAACCACTGCAAAGACTGTGCCCAGAAGACGGTCAAGAAAACTAAAGGCAGCATTTCCAAGCTGAGACTCTAAGGCTTTGTTTTTGCTTTAACTGAAAAGGGAATTGAGACTCTGAGTTTAGTGTGAGAGATGTCGCTTTCTCCGCTAGATACTCGAGTGGTCCTCAGCATCAGTGCCTAACCCCACGCATCGGCCCTCTCCCTCCAGCCCCAGTGCCACTGGAAGTGCCACCTAATCACAGGTTAACACAGATGTCACCAAAGACAACCTGTACTCTTTCATGACAAGCAATATAAAAAAGCTTGTAAACAGTTTGTTGTACTTGGAAATTATTTTGTATCAGAAAGAATCATGGGGCTGGGTGCAGTGGCTCACGCCTATAATCCCAGCACTTTGGGAGGCTGAGGTGGGTGGATCACAGGGTCAGGAGATTGAGACCAGCCTGGCTAACATGGTGAAACCCTGTTTCTACTAAGAATACAAAAAATTAGCCAGGCATGTTGGCACATACCTGTAGTCCGAGCTATTTGGGAGGCTGAGGCAGGAGAATCATTTGAATCCCAGAGGCAGGGGTTGCAGTGAGCCAAGACTGTGCCACTGCACTCTGGCCTGGGCGACAGAGTGAGACTATCTAAAAAAAAAAAAAAAGTATATTCATGTCTTGTAGTAGCAGACAAGGAAGCAGAAAGACCCAGTATCTTATATTTGCGAAAATGCATGTTGTTAACTCACTTTGAGGGATTGTTTTCTTGGTTGATTTGGTTTACTAGGAGCTAACCATTCACGTGCTTCCCATTCTTATCTTACAAGTCCTTTAACATGCAAATTAACTTGAAGACGTTCAAAACAAATAATTATATATATTTGAAATAAGTTCCCATAGTCTTCATTTCCAATATATGAACAATAGTTTTTACTCTTCCTCCAACTTTATTTGGGTCATTTTATCCTCTTCTCAAAAGTTCCCAAAGCTATTTCAAATCCTTTCTAGTCCTATATAAGTAATTAATTAGATAAACAAACAAATGTTCATGCTGGGATTCTCCACTTCCCCTAATTCTCTGATAACAGCTGGTATGGCAGCAGTGACAACAGCAAAGCTCAGCCACTGTCCTGGAGTGGGTCCAGGCGGCCTCAGGTTTGGGTTCGTCCGGGATGCCCATTTCTGGTGGGCCTCTGAGTCCCACCCTTTTCCTGGCTCCCTTGAGTGTATACCAGCTTTCCCCTGGCCTCAGGCCAAGCCCCACTCTGGGTCTGGTTTGCTTCGTGGCCTTTGTTTTCCCTTCCTCCTGTGGTCAGAGGGGATTGCCAAGGCTTCTTTTCCTCCCTTTTCCGATGCCGTCTTATTCCCAGCCCACCAGGAAGGGCTTTGTCTCCCCTGAATTCAGGCTTAGTTGGCATTTGTACTACATCTCTGGTTTTTGTCACCAGAAAAAAAATGTATTTGCAAGTATTTTCTGGCAATTCTTCTGCTTTGCCATCTAGCCAGCACTCTGGCATTTACTGCAGGGGTCAGCTGTTCTAGTTGGGCCAGCCCTAACCCAGGCACCTTGACTGATTCCTACTTATCATGCAGGCTATTAGTCCTGGACAGCCGAAGGAGCCTTATAGCTAAAACAAACAGGAGAGAGACAGAGAGAAGAAGAAGAAGGAGGAGGAGAAGGAGGAGAAGGAGAAGGAGGAGGAGGAGGAGGAGGAGGAGGAGGAGGAGGAGAAGAAGGAGGAGGAGAGGGGGGAGGAGGGGGAGGAGGGGGAGGAGGAGGAAGGGAGAGGGAGGAGGAGAAAGGGAGAGGGGGAAGGGGGAGGAGGAGAAAGGGAGGGGGGAGGGGGAGGAGGAGAAAGGGGGAGGGGGAGGAGGAGAAAGGGGGGAGGGGGAGGAGGAGAAAGGGAGGGGGAAGGGGGAGGAGGAGAAAGGGAGGGGGAAGGGGAAGGAGGAGAAAGGGAGACGGGGGAGGAGGAGGAGGAGGAGGAGGTGCCATCTCACAGCAGGAAACTCAGCCTGCTAGAGGAAGAGGACTGACTTACGGTGATGTTGGGGCCACCTGGGTACCTGGTGGACGAAATCTGAAGGTAGCTGGCTTCTTCCTTATGCAGAATCCCAGCCCCTTCCACTGGCCTACTCTACCCAATTTCATTATTACTGACAGGGAGACCAGACCCTTGGTTTGATTCCATAGAATATCAGAGCTAGAAAGAACTGAGAGGATCTCTAATCCCTTTGTTTTATGGATAAACAAACTGAGACCAACAGACAGAAATGATATAAACAAGATACTTACCTAGTGGCAGAGCTAGGATTAGAAGAATCCTAGTCTCTTGGGCCAGAGTGTAGGTTTTTATATAGATACAAGAGTAGAATCTGTGAAGCCCGTAGGGCTGGGGGAGTGGGTGGTTGGCCTAGGTAGTTTCTAAAGCCCTTTGAAACTCATGTTCTGTGACCCCATCTTCCAGAGGGCTTCAGTATTTTCTTTAATAGCGAGTGACCTCCTTCAAAAATTCCTTTTCTGGATTCAAGTAGGTTTAGGAGTGAGCAGCTTATTATTATCCAAAGTAGAGGCTGAGGAACTGAAGAAGCTTCAGAGATGGATCATCTGTTCCTAACAGAGGTGTTAGAAACGGTGCCCACCACCAGGGTTTCCATATCTCCTAATGTGAAGCTGTAGATGATTGGGGCCATAATAGAATGTGCCTTTCCAACAGCAGGGATTCTGTGGAGGCCATTTATCTTTAAGGAGAGTTAACCAAGTAGAAACCAAATCGGTAAATAGCAAAACCATTTTTTTTCCTTCTTTTTTTTTTGAGTCTGAGTCTCACTCTGTCACCCAGGCTGGAGTATGCAGTGGCGTGATCTTGCGTCACTCTAACCTCTGTATCCTGGGTTCAAGCAATTCTCTGCCTCAGCCTCCCGAATAGCTGAAATTACAGCCACCTGCCACCATGCCCGGCTAATTTTTTTTTGTATTTTTAGTAGAGACGGGGTTTCACCATGTTGGCCAGGCTGGTCTTGAATTTCTGAGGTTGTGATCCAGCCACCTCGGCCTTCCAACGTGCTGGGATTACAGGCATGCACCACTGTGCCAGGCCTTTTTCTTCTTCTTTTTGATTATTTTTTTAGAGATGGGGTCTTGCTCTATTGCCCAGGCTAGGGTGCAGTGGTGTGATCATAGTTCACTGCATCCTCAACCTCCTAGGGTCAAGTCATCCTGCTGCCTCAGCCTCCTGAGTAACTGGGACGACAGGCACACACCACCATGTCTAGTTTTTTATAGTTGCCCCAGGCTGGTCTTGAACTCCTGGCTCAAGTGCTCCTCCCACCTTGGCCTCCCAAAGTGCTGGAATTACAGCCATGAGCCACCATGCCTGGCCAACACTATTGATTTAAACATCCTTGCCTCAGTGTGGCCTGGTGCAAAAATCAATAGGCTTTTGACATTTCTCTACATTACCAAATTCTGTTCCTTAGTATTTCTTTATTACTTCTCTGCCTAAGGGAGGAAGGTGAAGCATTTGCAGGCATGGGAGTATTCTCAGTCATGTTGTCACTATTATCTTGGTGGGCAATCTAGAAACACAGAAGGGACAGCTCTTTAAGAAAAAGAGGAATATCTCTATTCTAGAAAGCTAGTATTTTGTTTACTGATTTCATTATGGGAATTTGGAAAATACAGAAAAAACAAAGAAGAAAATAGACGTCCATAGCCCTACCACATAGTGAAAACTCTATTTGGATTTCCTCCTAGCCTTTTTTCTCCCTGTGCATAAACATATATTTGAACTAATGTTTACACATATTTTTCAAAATGGGATTGTACTGTACTTACTGTTTTCAAAAGCTGTTTTTTTTTCCCATGTGAAATGATGTGTTAGGATCACTTTAGCTAGGAAGGACTCCATTTTAATCCATTTCCATCCATCATAAGCAGTGGCAAGTGGTGTTGGCAGCAGCTATGGGATGGTATGGGAGAGGCTTTCGGTCTCAGCAAGCTACAGGGGCAGACCTCTCGGCCACCATGGGGGACCTGCAGTCCCTCACAGCACAGGGTCCCAGACTGGTAGCTGCTGTGACCTGACACCTACCTCAGTGGTTAATGATAAGGGGATGTCCCAGGGCTTGGTGCAGCCCATGTGTTTTCACGCCACCGGATATGGTTTTGTTTTTATTTTCATCCTAACAGAAAACCCTTGTGGATGTGACTTTGGAAAACAGCAACATTAAGGATCAAATCAGAAATCTGCAGCAGACGTATGAAGCATCCATGGACAAGCTGAGAGAGAAGCAGAGGCAGTTGGAGGTAGCACAAGTTGAAAACCAGCTGCTGAAAATGAAGGTGGAGTATACGAGCCTAGGCTTATTTTCCACGAACCTTTCTCCTCTCTTCTTCTCACCTTCGTTGTCCCATCCTCAACTTTAACATTTCCTTTTCTCCATTCTCTTCTTCATTGGATATATTTTTTTTGAGGCAGAGTCTTGCTCTGTCACCCGGGCTAGAGTGCAGTGGCGTGATCATGGCTCACTGCAACCTCCGCCTCCCAGTTTCAAGCAATTCTCATGCCTCAGTCACTTCCCTCAGTAGCTGGAATTACAGGTGTGTGCCACCATGCCCAGCTAATTTTTGTATTTTTAGTAGAGAAGGGATTTCACCATGTTGGCCAGGCTGGTCTCGACCTCCTGACCTCAGATGATTTGCCTGCCTTGGCCTCCCAAAGTGCTGGGATTACAGGCATGAGCCATAGCACTCAGCCCAGATTGAGAGTGCTCCATAAACGCCTCCATTGGGCATGCCTTTCTTGGCCCCCAGTAGCCTCAAGGGCTCTGTAGACACTCACCATGGTGCTACCGTTACGTTACTAAGGAGACACTTGGGATGTCCATAGATCTGGGACTTCAGAGGCCTTGGACATCTCTCCCTTCACTGTTTAAATTTTCTTTGAGGTCCCAAGGCCTTTCTGTTTGGCTTGACAATAAAGAGCTGAGGGGCACACAGTTAGCCAGTACCTGGGCTGTGACCCCTTCTCAAGAAGAAAATTGGTGGGTGACTAAATTGGAAATGTCCCATTTGGCCCCCTAGGGTGGTTGCATTCCTTAGCTGGACTTCTAAACTTCTAATGCCCTAGATACATTAGTGTCCCTCCCAAATTTAAACCGTGGATGGACTTCCTACCCAGTGATAGAAGTTCCATGAATGGCTCCTGGAAGGCACTTAATAAATTATATCCTGGATGAATTCCTTTTTACGTAAGTCTGTGGTTTTAAAATTTTGCTCAGCACAGATTTAGGCAGCCTTCTTTCCTCCCTCCCCTCCCCTCTCCCCGCTCTCTCTTTCTTTCTTTCCTTTCTCTCTTTCTGTCTTTTCTTTTCTTTGCAATGGAGTTTTGCTCTTGTTGCCCAGGCTGGAGTACCATAGTGCGATCTCGGCTCACCTCAACCTCCACCCCCTGGGTTCAGGCGATTCTCCTGCCTCAGCTGGGATTACAGGCATGCACCACCACGCCTGGCTAATTTTGTGTTTTTAGTAGAGATGGGGTTTCTCCAGCTTGGTCAGACTGGTCTCAAACTCCCAACCTCAGGTGATCCAGCTGCCTCAGCCTTGCAAAGTGCTGGGATTACAGGTGTGAGCCACTGCACCTGGCTGACTTAGGCTTTCTTATGGGGAGCGTATCCACATAGTTTATTGCTCAACCAGAATATGTGAGGGAGTGAAAGGTGGTACTATTGGTAATTAAGTTGGGGAGACAAACTGGGATGGGTGGGCCCCTCCATGAAGGCTGCCACAGGCATGGGCTGGGTGGGGCGGAGGGACTGCCAGTGCACTGCCCGGTCTCTGTATTGCTGCCCTGGGGCTCTGCTGCCAGCTCACCTGGCCTGCCACAGCCAAGGAACAGATCTCCTCTCTACGTTCACTTCTAATAGGCAGCTCTTCTTTTCCATATATTGTCTTTCTGAGTAAGTGCTACTTTGTGGGGGAAAAGGTTTGTATTGCCAAAAAAGCCTGAAATTACTGACTTAGGTCTTTTTTTCTCAGCTTAGGAGCTTTATTCTATCATTCATTCCACAGATACTCATTGAGTGTCTACTTTACGTGTGTGTCCTGTTCAGTCCTGTTGCTTCTAGAGGTGGCCTGTCACCAGGCATCTGGGGACGTCATTAGGCTGCTTGGCAGTCTGGCTGCTTCCCTGGAGTCCAGGCCTTTAACGACGGCCCACAGTGGATTGCCTGTGGTGGAGCCTGGTGCTGGTTTTCATCCTGACAGTGGAGTTAACGAGGGTTTTCCTACACCCTCCTCTTATTTTACTTCCCAAATTGAAAAAAAAATAGCTTCAGGAACTCAGGGTATGTTACATGAACTGGATGCAGAGTACATGGACCTCCAGGGACAGAACCCTTGCGGCAAGCTATGCATGCAAATGCAGCACACGGCACATAGGGTCTCTCTCAGCTGGTGATAAGCTCTGCTCAGGATTTCTCACTTTGGGACTTCTTGGTATCAACACTTGCCCAGTGGGGAGAAGGGAGAAGTCAAGGGCGTCAAGAGAGACTTGTCACATCTTGGAAATACACATCATCTAACCTACTGAGGTTGAAAAATGCCTCCCTTTTCCAGAGTTTGGGTATGCAGCAAACTCGGCTCTCTGGAACAGGCAATAACCTGGAAGGCGGGAGGAGAGCAAACCTTCTGCAGCGTAAAATCAACGGCGGGAACTCTGTGTGTGAGGACGCAGCCTGGCAAACAGGAGGCCCCAGCCGCCCCCAACCTAAGCCCTGCCCACCCACAACTCCACTGACTTTTTCTCACCTCCTAAGCCAGGCCTGCTTCAGCACTAGGGGTGCCAGCTTAGTGTTCCCCACGCTAGGCTGGAATGTTTCCAAAAGCAGCATTTAGGAAAGCACAAAGGTGTGGAAAGGGTGAGATTTCTTGTTTGAGCTCAGCTGGTCTTACCTAAAAACTGGCTTGGCCAATGCACCTAATGAGATTGCTTAGAGAAGTAAGTTTCTACCTTTTGAAAAAGAAGTCACTCATGTGAATCAAAACTTTGTCCTGATAATGCCCCCAAAACTCGTGTGAAATGCCGCTTTTTATTTTTCTGTGGCTCTGCTCACCCCTCTTCCTCCCTTGCCCTGTAAGTTTCTGCTGCTTCTCTCTGCCGCAGGACCCAGTGGATGGGCTCACTATCTCTGCGAGTCCCCACATGAGACGCACGGAGTGGAAGTTGCCAGCTCCCCGGGCCCTGCGAAAGCTGTCATTCTGAAATGAGTCTCTTTGTAGGTGGAATCGTCCCAAGAAGCCAATGCCGAGGTGATGCGGGAGATGACCAAGAAGCTGTACAGCCAGTACCAAGAGAAGCTGCAGGAAGAACAGAGGAAGCACAGTGCCGAGAAGGAGGCACTTCTGGTGTGTATGTTGCAGCTGCTGTAAACTAACCGGCAATTGTTGGTTCATTATTTTTGGTGATGCTTACATGGTAGTTTCTTCTTAGAGGTGGGTTAGTGGGCTCAGCCATAGGTAAGGAATCAAGGATTTATTCATCTGCTCATTCATTTCCCTCTTGTCTTCCACTCTACTTTTATTCATCCTCCTCCCGCTCAGAATAGCCCCTGGTTCCTGTCTGTTAATACACACCTTTTTCTTTTTTCTTTTTTTTTTTTCCCATTTACTTATTTTATTGCATTTTAGGTTTGGGGTACATGTGAAGAACATGCAAAATTGTTGCATAGGAACACACATGGCAGTGTGATTTGCTGCCTTCCTCCCCATCACCTACATCTGGCATTTCTCCCCTTGCTATCTCTCCCCAGCTCCCCACCCCCCACCGTCCCTCCCCTATTTCCCCCCAACTGACCCCAGTGAATACACACCTTTTTCTAGCTCATCTGACAGTTTTCCAGCATCTAAGCAGATCCTGGGCTTGCCTGCAGCTGTGCCCTCCCTTCCTCCATTTGCTTCTCTCTACCTGAAATTTCCTCCTTTCCTGTCCTTGATCCTGCCTAAGCTCCGTAAAAGCCTGAAATGCCACTTTTTCCATGCATGAAGTCTCTCTCAGTCACGGAGCCAGAGTATTATCTGTCTTTAGGAAGCTCACTCTCTCTACCTCTGCTTTTACTGTGGAATTCTTTTATACCTACCATTTGACTGGGGCTGTGCTTCTCACATCTTGGCTTTTCCAGGAGATTATAAGTTCCTGAAGGCAGGGACTCCATTTCTGGCTCATCTGTGTCCTTAGATGCTTAATACATGTGCCGATGATTGACTGGGTTTTCTTCTTAGTAGTGAGCTGATGCATTGCATTACGGGAGAAGAATCTGGGAAGTCTGCATTCAATTCCAAATCTGGTCCTAATTGCCTTTACACTTCTGGCAAATGAAGTGACATTCTGAGTACTTACTCGATGTTATTAAATGTTTTTAGGCCTCTTTTATACCTTTTGGACATAAAGTCAAGGGAAAAAAGAAAACTAGTGAGGCGCATTAACAAGCCACGCCATATATCTTTATTCATAGGTAAGAATCAGAATCATGGAGGTTGAGTTCATGATCTGTGAGACACTGTCAGGTTCCAAAGTCAGGTTTTAAAGAGAAATAATGATACAGCAAGGCCAGAGCTGCTTGGAGGCTGGTGAGTAGCCTAGGTACCCCATGCTTGTACTTAGGAGAGTCTATTTCTTTTGCAGGAAGAAACCAATAGTTTTCTGAAAGCCATTGAAGAAGCCAATAAAAAGATGCAAGCGGCAGAGATCAGCCTAGAGGAGAAGGACCAGAGGATCGGGGAGCTGGACAGGCTGATTGAGCGCATGGAAAAGGTAGGACATAGTGTCGGGCCTGTTGCCCACTTGCCCAAACTTTTCCCTGCAGGCCCATCTGAAGATACGAGAAGCCCTGAATATGGATCCCTCTCACCTCCCACATTTGCGATTAAACAAACCAAACAAAAAGACAAAGCTATAAAATAAACTATAAGAAAGCTCAACAAAGTTCTAATTTTTTCCATGGTCACTATTTTGATGCTTTAAAAAATATTTCTTGTGAAATTCTGTAGAAAAAATTAATATTTTAGTAGCCTTGCTCTGCTGGTGCCCCAGGCGTGAACTTAGTTTATCCATTGAATGATCAAACTCTATTTAGTTGTTACATCAGTACCACAGTCCTGTTGTTTCTGGGGCATGTGTCTCAAGGGTTGGCTTTTCCTTGACACGCCAGGGACTTGGGGGAATGGAGGCCACATTTCTCTGGGTGTGGTAAGCAGGCTGATGAGTGGAGTGGAGGGACATGGGAAAGGCAGGATCTCAGCTGGGATAATGAAGCCTGTTTAGAGAAAGGGAAGAGGCCAAGAATTATGTAGGAAATAGAGGAAAAGGAGGAAGTGGTGGGAGAAGGGAAAGAGGAAAGGAGGGAAGAGAAGGAAGAGAAGGGATGGGCGACCTTTAGCAGGTGACGGCTGACTTCTTGGCCTAGGAGTTCAGGGCGAAGGCTCTGGCTGGCTTCTGGAAATGGCTCCCTGGCTGCATCTGAATTTGGAGAGAGTGGTGACCTGCCAAGACCGTAACATTATTAGCACCTTGTGACTCATTCAGGATGCCAAGAATCTCCAATCTGATCATGGAGACAGAGAAGGGACAGGGAAAGCAAGGTCACTGTCAGGCTTCATGTGATTCTGAGAAGAGGTCTCCTAACCCCATGGATTTTGCAGCATAAGCTCCTCTGCTGTCCCCTAACAAGGTGAGGTGTCACCACCATGGGAACTGCATTAAGTTCAGTGCTTTGGAGCTTCAGAGCTTACCAGGTGCTTCTTTTTTAGCTCTTTAGCTTTTTACTTGAGAGAGAATTGGACAAACTAAAGAGTCAATTGCAATCTCACTTCTCCCCCCTGGGAAAACAGAATCCCATCTTTTATTGAAGAATAGATGATTGGCTTAATCAGGACTAACGTTAGTACTGACCAGAGGGGATGGTGGTGAAGATTGGGCAACAAGGGGGCTTTCTAGAACTAGATGAGCTTCCTCCCACATACTATTCTCCTACAACAGCAGAAGATGCCGGTTCACTCAGATGCTCTTTCTCTGGGTGGCAGGTTTTCCTGCAGCATAAAGAAGCAAGGTGAGCAGGCAGCATAGCAGGTGGTTTGGGCGAGAGGCTGTCCTACAGAGAGACCGCGTGTAGTAGTTACCGACATAGGCTTTGGAATCACACAGCCTGGGGGGTTGAATCTTGTGTCTCTTCCTAGCTGTTTGCAGTTGCTTGATTTTTCCAAACTCTGTCTCCACTTTTGTAAAATGCTGGTTATGGTACTCCTTATTCTTAGAGCTTTTGTGAGCAATGAATGAGAAAAATCCATGCCAAGTGCTAAGCATGGTTCCTCGTGTGTAGTAAGGGTTCAGTCATTTGTGGCTGTGACTTTTACTTTGTTCCAAGGTTGCCTGTGTCTACCCTCACAGTCAGCTTGTTTTTACCCCGACCCATTTTCACGCTTATCTTCACTGTACTCTTGAGGTTCGGAAAGTTTCTTGTCTTTCCCCACGGATTTTCACGTGGAGCCCTCATGTGGGGTGAATGGGTGGAGCCTGGGAGCTGGTAAGGCCTGCCCTCCCTGACAGCATTTAGGAAAGCACAAAACCTCCCCCAAGTGGTGTTGGCGTCCTCTTTAGTGACTGGAAATTTATGGTCCTTTCTCTAAATCTCCCTTTCCATTTGGCTAGAGAAAGGTTGTATTTATTTAGATGAGATTAGATAGATGAATTTCCACTGTTTCCTTTTCAGGGATAAATCTTTGAGAGCAGGAATCTGGCCAAATCCCCGTCTCACACTACGTGAACGGCATGTCCCTCGCCAGGGCTGTGGCAGCATCCGTATCCCGCTCTCTGTTTTGGATTTTGCTCAAGGACAAACCATGTGCTTTTGACCGGCTTCTCTGCCGTATATCTTAGTTTACTGTCTCTCTTGTTGAGCATTGTATTTGAAACACCTTTTCTTCTCATCAGTAAAAATCTTTCAAGGAGTGTTCTCTACCAGGGACCCTACTGGGAACAGGTAACAGTCTATGCCTTAATCTGGGCAGGGATCTCACAGGTACTTACAAATGTAAAAAATAATTAAGCAGTGTACACTTAAGATTTATTGTACCTCAATTTTAAAAAACTGAATTTTAAAAGTGTGCTGTAAGTTATTTAGACCTTGCTCTACTTTATGACAGCTTTTTTTTTTTTTTTTTTTTTTTTGAGGGAGGCATTCACTTGTGAAAGCTTTTATCACTGTTATGTCAGGGCTAATGTGAAACTTTCAACCACATGGGGGAGGGAGGAATGTTCAGCTCAGGCCAGGCCATAAGATTGTGCGTTTGCTATAGACGTTTAAAAACAGTAACAAAACCCCAGTCAAAGTTTGTCTACATTTGCTGTTATACATTTTTCTGTGATAATATACTCTTCCTGCTCGAGGTAGACTGCTTCCGCATGCCTTTGGCCTACCTCTTGGTATACCACAGCTTACAGCTTCAAAAGTTGTGGCAGTTAAATTTTCAAATATTTGCTTTTAATAATTTGGTAGAAAAGAGGTTTGGAATCTATGTAATTAGTAAGAGTTTGCTGGGTAGAATTTCTGAACATGAAGATGAGGAACATTAGTTCTCAGAAAAGCACCTAAAGTAAAATAATCTCAGTTAGTGAGCAGGATTTGATCAACATCCACTTTAAGGAAATTTATTACACTCATGTCTGTAATATATTTTTAGTGCAATTTCAGTTATGATGGGCACTATGTTTTTATGAACATTCTTCAGCTTTGTCCACAGAAATGATTCCCGACTCCTCCTTTTTTGGGTAAACTTATACATATGTATATAGCAGAGTGTACAAAATGCACAGCTTGATGCGTGTATGTTTCCTATTGCTACCATAGCAAATTTCCACAAGGTTAGTGGCTTAAAACAACACAAGTGTATTATTTTACATTCCTAGAGGTCAGAAGTCCTAAAATCCAGGTGTTGGCAGGGCTGGATTCCTTTTGGAAGCTCTAGAAGGGAATGCATTTCCCTGTATTCTCTAACTTCTGAAGACCACCTGCACTCCTCAGCTTGTGGCCCCCTCCTGCAGCTTCAGAGGCAGTAGCAGAGCATCTTCCAGCCTCTTTCCCTCTGATTCTCACCCCGCTGCCTCCTCCTTATAAGGGCCCAACTCTATAACCTGGGAACTCCCCATTTTGAGATCCTTAATTTAATCACATCTGCAGAGTTCCTTTCTCCATGTAAGATAACACATAGGTTTCAGGAATTAGGACATGGACATTTTTGGAGGACCATTATTCTGACCACAACACATTTTTACAAGTGAATACACTTGTATAAACACCACTCAGGTTAGAAAAGAGGATATAGCCAGAATTCCAGAGCCTCTTTTCTTGATGATTTGGAAAATAACAAAGAATTTTGCAGTATCACAAGCTACCAATTTAAAGTATTGATTATCATTATTTGGAACTATTAATTTTCTCTGAGCCTGGGCTGATGGAATACTTTTGGAAAATAAATCTTGAATGGTTTCATTTGGGATGTTTGTCTCTGATCTGTAAATGTTTCTATAAATACACAACAACAGATTTGGCGGTTTTGAGCCTTGTTTGGGGTTTGCTGAGCCCAAACAAGGGTTTTACACACTTGGACTTCCTAGTGCTAGAATTGTTAAATAGACATTTTCTGTTGAACTTGGGACCCATTGATTAAAATATCAGTTTCCATTTGTTTTAGGAACGTCATCAACTGCAACTTGAACTCCTAGAACATGAAACAGAAATGTCTGGGGAGATAACTGGTTCTGACAAGGAAAGGTAAGATGTAATGCCTTTCGTCATGTAATGGGTTTAGGTTGTAGACACACTGTGTTTTTATGGCCTCATCTGACCCTTGCCTTTTCATTTGTGTGACTGTCCCTTATTATGGACTTAAGCATGTATAACATTGGGCTGAGAGCTTCCAATATGGAGCAAGTTTCCTTGGAAGCCTCCAGCCACATCTTGCAGACCATGGCTGGTCATTAGTGTAGTGACACATCAAATACTTTCACAAGTGCAAAAGTTCGTCTATTAATGATGTCCATCACCTTGAATGCCACAGGATATGCCTTGTTGATGAGAAAACTCATCAACTGTGACTGATACCCTTTGCTTTGCAAACCAATTTTGAAACATCTTTCTTTGTTTCCAAACTTTGCTGAGTAAAACCTTCCATGTCCCCTGGCTATAAGTACATTAAACCCTGCATGGAAAACAGTATATACACTGTCTCTTCTAAAAATTAAAAGGCAGAGAGGCCATTCGGGGGTCTCTAGTGATGAAAAACAAGGTTGAGATGATTTGAGTGTTTTGGCAAGTGACTTAACCTCCCTGAGAATTGCTTGTGCAACATGGAAATTCGTCTTTAAAGGGGGAGAGGATTATGATGGTGATAACAGTGCCCATCTCACTAGGTTACTATTGTTAAGAGGACTGTTGCGCTTGCTGCTTGCCAAATAGTATGTGCTGAAAGAATACCCATTTTTCCTTCCTCATTTGCAATTTCAGAGTGTTCAGAGCTATAGGAGGCTTACTAGTCTTTAACATAGTGCTGAGGCAAAGATGGGGTGCGAGAAATAGACCCTTCCTCCAGTGTCCAGCCCCAGCGGCCCCAGAGAACTGGAGAGTATAAGCAACGTCGGAGAGTAATTTGTGCTGTTTTAAAACAAAAGTATGAAATGTTTTGTGATGTGCCTTCCTCTATTTTGATGTTGAGAAGGTCTTTCAACTTTTCCCCATTTGCCAAAAATAAAGGATATGTAGAGCGACTGTAATTCCAGACTTTTCGGTACTCTGCCATTGGTTTCAGATATTTTGTGTTGTTGGACCCCTTCTTCCCTGTTCCCCCATCAAAGTAATTTACTGAATCTTCCAGTATTTTATTAACCCCAAAACAGAGGCTTCTCATATCTGTAAATGGTGCAAAAAATTCTCTCTGAGTCCCTGGAAAAGAACTGTCCTTATATGGGATAAAACTTGGAAATGGGAACGTAAAAACAAGTCCTGTGCTCCTCTGGTTTGGTCGTTTGTTGGTAATCACTGAGGTGGTTTGCTGGTAAACACACCTCTTTGTGTGGTCATCACACAAAGTAAAAAGAACGCATCCTGGGATTTGGTTTCTTGTTCTTGGCAGAATTTTTTTATTTTTTAAAATTTACATTTTTTTTTTACCAACGCTTCCCCCAAAGATGCATTCTTTCTATTTTTATTTTATTTTTGTGGATATGGGTGTCTCACCATGCTGCCCAGGCTGGTCTCAAACTCCCGACTTCAAGCAGTCCTCCTGCCTTGGCCTCTCTCAGAGTGTTGGGGTTACAGGCATGAGCCGCCATGCCTGGCCCTCTTGACAATATTCTTTAAAGCTGTGGCCTGTTGCTACTGCTGTTGCTGCTTTGCTTCAGGGCTCATTTCCTTTTTTCTCCTATTCGTGTTAGGTATCAGCAGTTGGAGGAGGCATCAGCCAGCCTACGTGAGCGGATCAGACACCTAGATGACATGGTGCATTGCCAGCAGAAGAAAGTCAAGCAGATGGTTGAGGAGGTAAGCATCTGGAAAAGGCCACAGGCCTGGGATTGCTTCCTGTGGTGAGGAAACAGCCCCAGAACAAATCCTGTGGCCCACAAGCCAAGGTGCTCAGGCCACTGCCATTTAGACCCAGAGTAGGATTTCCTCCATGTCCCCCATGGACTGATGATGATGATGCCCCTAAAAGAGGAGTTTCCCCCAGTCAAAGGGTTACAGTTAGGAAAGCTGGAAAGTGCAGTTCATAAGCTCACCCACTGTCAAAGGACAGTGATCATCTGCGTGGGAACCCACAGCTCAGGAGACCAAACAGGGTGATGGGAAGGGTGAATTTAGCCCGGGTCCCTGCACTGCCTCCACAGCTGTCCGTTTCTCTCTCCCTGCTACCATTCTTGTCCTTTATCCTTTTCTGGGTGTGTCTTTCATTCCCTTGTATGTTTCTCTCTTTTTTTCTCCCTCCTTCCTCATTCTCTTCTCCCACTCCTGTTTCTTCTTCCTTTTCCATTGCCACCATCCTTCCTCTCCTGACTGTCTCTGTAACAGGAAACCAAGCTATACATTTACTGTGTGGGCATATTTACTATTCTCTTTTTTTCTAAATGAAAAAACGGGTAAGTTGAACATTTCCATTTCTCTAAGAGGAAAAGAGAAATTTTTAAACTTGTGTCAGTGTAATCTGCCTCTCTTGTGGTGATGTTCCAAAAAAGAAAATCCGTGCTGTGTAAAGCTGATCACATATTGCTGTGGTTTTCTTCTTGCTCAGTTAAAAAATCTGATGGAAGAATCTGATAGAAAAAGAGCAGTTAGTACTAAGGATTATAAGAATTCCCTTGAGTCTAATTCTCTAACTTGCAAAGAAAATGTTTCAATTTAGTTAAACATTTGGTTGGCAGTGAAAAAATGAAAAAGAATTTTCCTTACCTTAAGCACTACTTTAAAAAGTTATGTTTTATTAATGGATTATTACAATAAAAAGCATATCTACTTCTAATAAATAATCTATGTACATAACAGACACATGAAAGATTAAAAATATATCTATTTTATCAATCTCTAAAATATTGGGGATATTAATGTTGGGGTTAAGGTCAGGGAATTGTGAGGATGGGAAGGGACATCTTGTTTTACTGTGTGTAGGATAAACACACATAGTAGATAAAATCTTGTCCGCAAGCGAGAAGTGCAGTTATACTGTGTTGAATCATGCGTATCTTATATTGGTTCACATGCAAGTTTCTGGGGAGCAATGGAATAGCAGAGGAAGCCATGCACGCACCTTTGCAATCCTTTCGTGTATGCAGGCGGGAGCACTGCCCGTGACAGTAATGGGGAGGGAGGTCCTGCCCTATCATCAACACTAGGTAGATGTCAGGAGTGTGTTGTCCAAGGACAAGCATCACTTTGCCATGATTAGCATCCTGGGGAACTTTGGCTGTCCGGGAACAGTTTTTCTGCTTTTGAATTTCACAAACACGAAGTCTGGGGCAAGGGCATCCCTTATTTTCCCCCATGTGAGTGGCTAATTGTGGGGCATTGCATTTCTCCCACCTCACCACAGGGGGGTGTCTGTGTTGTTCTTGTATCTGATAATAGAGAACTGTTGAACAAAACCTCTTACTGGTTGGCTTCTAATTCATTTAAATCCTTACCTGTAAGAGGTTAAGGCTATACCAGAATCAGAGACATTGTTTCTTTTTAAAAAGACACTTTCAAAGAAGTTTAGAATTCTCTTTTTCTAACCTACTTCCAGAATGTACCAAACATACCAATTTGAAGGGAGTGAAGGAATACACACACACACACACACACACACACACACACACGCATACACATACATATGTGTGTGTATAGGGATGCATATAAAGATCACTGTCCATGCTTTGCCTTTTACTATCTGTGATTTCATATCTTCTAGATAAGCTTCTCTAAGCTTTGATGTGGTCTGTGGTCTGGAAGGCCCAGTCATTGGAATGAAATCATCAGCTAAAATTGAGGATGCCATTAGAGTTAGCACCCTTAGGGCTGGCTGGCTTTCAACAGTGAATGTAGACCACCGCCACCAACAACAACAAAAAAAGAGAGAGATACTTTTCATTCCTAATAATTTTTGCTGCCTGATTAAATAGTTTGTGTTTGCCCAGCATACTACATTAACTTATGTAAGAAAAAAATGGCAGCTGGGCATGGTGGCTCATGCCTCTTATCCCAGCGCTTTGGGAGGCCAAGGCGGGTGGACCACCTGAGGTCAGGAGTTTGAGTCCAGCCTGGACAACATGGCAAAACCCTGTCTCTACTAAAAATACAAAAATTAGCCGGGTGTGGTGGTGGGTGCCTGTAATCCCAGCTACTTGGGAAGTTGAGGCAGGAGAATCGCTTGAATTCAGGAGGCAGAAGTTGCAGTGGGCTATCATGCCATTGCACTCCAGCCTGGGCAACAAAAGTGAAACTCCATCTAAAAAAAGAAAGGTAGCTTAAAAGTTCAATTGCTAAAGCCACTTACGTGAATACGTTTTTTTAAAAAATTAGAAACATGGTCCAGGAACATTGGTAGATTGACAGATGAGCACATTCAGAAGAGTAAGACCAGGTTGGAAAGGAGTTGAGAACTCGAGTAATTCAGGGAATTGGGGAAGACATGCCCAAGGAGAGAGGAGAGCTGAATTCACATCTTAGAGATTGTGAGGGAATGTGTTTTTGTTTTGTGTCGTGAAGCAAGGCCAGGCAAGAGCCACTGGGTGATAACTTTCAAAGAGGCAAATTGCCGCTCTTCATTCAAAACAAAAGATTCCTAGTACTGGCTGCACCAGTAAAGCATTTATCCCTTCATTATGGGTACATTCTGTACAAAGTACGAAGTTGATTTAGAAGTTCTCTAGTGTTCCTCCACAAATTCTGTGTTCTGTAATCTGAAAGACCGTGGAGGAAGTCTGGTAACTTTGGTTAAGTGTTCATCACATAAAGAATTCTCTGTTGTTTACTATGCTGTGCCTGTTTTTAGGAGCTCAGCCTTCTCATTATGTTGCATAATGAGCAAAATCAGCAAAATCACAACTAAGTCAGATCACTTGGAGCAAATTTTGAAAAATCTAGACTATTGAACTGGTCACTTGTGAAATGAATCTGGAACTCTGACTCTAGAAGAAAAGTATGTTTTCATCTGCAAACTCTGGGTCCCCAGGCATAGAGGCAGCCTTTAAGCATAGAGACTGTTAGGGGCCCTTTTCCTTCCCTCACGTGGGTCTGGAAGCTGGTCTTCATCACAGCCTCACAGTCCCACGGATGGGAGTCTCGTCTCCATCCATTGTTGATATCCTTTTGGCCATAATGTCTGTGAGGAAACTTAGTTTATTAAAATGATGGGCTTCTTTTGTTTTAGCCCAAAATGTCCAGGTATTACTACCGAGATCCTTGGAATCCTTAAACATTAAGAAACACGTTTCTTCCTACCTCAGTGGAATATCACTCTATCATAGTAATAATAAATAATAAAAAATAACTGGCCCAGGTTTTGTCATCCTTAGCTGAAAAATGACCTGATTTCCATGGTGTGAGACAGTAGGACTTGTACTATGTAGGAAGGGCTCATGATGGGAGTAAGCCCTTTTGACATGAAGGGTTAGTACATGTCTTATGGGGTCAAGTTCAGTGAGAAAACACAGTGCAAAGCGTCTTCTGTGAAATGTGGGACCAAGTACTCCTCCCCAGGCTAGGTCTTTCTACTGAAGTAAGTCTCCTTCTTCATGGATGTCAGGGGATTCACATCCATGAACTAGTGACATCCTCATCACTAGTTCCTCCAGCTGATTCTGGCTTTGATAAAAATGGAAAACAAAACCAAAAATGCCCCACACGTACCCCTTATAGCCAGAAAACACAGAGAAATGCTGCGGGATTGGAAAGAAAAAGGCCTCAAGGGGAAATTAATTCATTCCTCCATTCAGCAGATACCCACCAGCACCTGCTTCATGCTGGGGCTGGGTACACAGTGGGGGGTCATGCAGATATGGGCCCTGCTGTCAAGATGTTACCCACTTGTGGGTTCCAGGGTAGTCTTGCCCTTGGGCTTTATGATCCTGTTGAAAAGCCTTGTTGGATTGGTCTTTGGTCTTGAGTCAAGCTGCATTCTTTAGATTGCTGGGAAAGGGCAATCTGGGAGAACTGGGAGTGGTAAAAAGCAAGAAAGGATCCTGAGGCCCCCACAATGCCCCCTGCTCACACATCTTTGAGTGTGACTTCTTCAGTCCGCAGTCTTTCACACCTCTTTACCTGCTCTCACCATGGCTCATCTGCTGCCAACCAAAGCAGCTGTCCTGCCAAGGGGAAAGTGGAGGAAAAAATAAATTATTTGCCCTCCAAGAGGGTGAGTTTACATTTTTGCCAATGGGCAGAGATATTGTTCAGCTGAATAAACATTAATTTCTTAAGAGGTTTTTTTTTTTTTAAACTATTTCCCAGTGTAGCCGTTAGGCATGCTTTCATTTTATCATGTCTTCCTTCTGATTTCCCATTGCCATTTGTGGATAGGAAATGTTCTTCCAACAGTGTCTGAAGGGAGTTTCTGTTCATTTGTAGAGGAGGCATTTTCTTTAGACTTCTTTTGCTGAAAGCAATTGCAATTTACCCCACTTTGCTATAAATGAGATGTTTAAAAAGTGCAAAGGTAGAAGGAATTGATTTTCTCATTAGCGTTTCTCCACCCAAGCTGGACATTAGAATCACCTGGGGAGCTTTAAGACATGCCTGAACTTGGCGGATGGCTTGGAGGCAGACTGAGCACTGGGTTTGGTTTTGTTTTTAAAAACTCTATAAGTGATTCTAATATGCAGCCCAATTGACAATTGCTGTCCTGCATTCTCAGAGCAGTGGCCTGGCTCTCCTTGCTGGGCTTCATGTTCGTGTTTTTGGCCAGTGTCCCTTGGAAACTCCTATGCCTGAGGTGGGAAGCTGGTGATGAACTCAGAATAGGCAGGGCTCAACAGAAAGCAAGCCAGGGAGATAGTCACCAGGGACAGGGGCAC